ATTACACCAAAAATCACATAACAATTTCCTTGTATAAAAAAATGAATGAATTTAAAACACACCAGCAGTACAAGCAGACGGAAAACTGAATGAAAATTATGTCTAATTATGCCAAGTACGAAAACACCTCCAAGGCATGGCACCTCCACCTTCGGATTGGAGGCATCATGCCTCCGAGGCATCTTAGAATTTCCGACCTAATTATGCCTCTGAGGCACCATTCACACGAGCCACAAAACCAAAACTAAGTAACATCATACTCCAAGCATATATACCCAGAACTTCGGAGAATGCCCAGATATTGACTTGAATAATAATCAGGTTTTTAAAATAAAAGTCAAGGCATAGGGCACTTTGGTTATTACACGAAACAAGGAATGTCAAATTTTTTGCAAATCGTATCATCATCAACAAGCATAACAAAAAACATAACATCTCAAAGAATTTTATTAGTTCACATCTCAGGAACAGAAAATAACTTAAACTGCAACAAGATAGATCATGATGCCACAACTCACTTACTCCTCTTCCTCTGCCTCCTCCAGCCACTTAACAAAGGGCTCCAAGGCTTTCACAAAGGTTTGCCTGTGCAAAAGATTTACAACGTAAGCTTCACAGTGTAAGACTCCTAAGTTAAAACACAAGTGCACGCAAAACGAAAAGAATCTAATTGCAGAAGATTTATGATGATACTACTTTGGTCTCACTGTAGAACGAGTACCTAAAAAGGAGAAATTCCTAAATATCAAGCTAAATAAAACATCAGGTTGTTGCAGTTGATGCAAGTGCAAAAGAAACAAAAGACATGGTGCTTGCTCAGTGCATTAACATAAATTGCACTGAAACAACAAGGATATTTGCAACTTGAAAGCCACAAAAAGCCCACAGAACTACCTAATTGTTCTTTCAGAAGATCATTCCCCCTCCTTAGACCCGGATGATTATAAAAATTGCACAAGCATTCTAGCAAATATAAGGCAAAGTTCTTACCGGCCCTTGGGGTTTGTTCCTTTTCGGAACCAGTGAAGAATGGTGTCTTCTGCAAGAACATCCTGGTCATACAGAGATCTCACAATCTCGGGGAAGAGCTTCATCAGCTTAGCATCCTCATAGCATTGCATCTGAACTTTGTACATCAGTTCAAGCTCAAGCTTCCCACTGGTGCAGAATGTATTCAACAGTTCTGCCCATGTTTTCACCTGCATCAACCAATGATAAGATCAATAAATCTGCCAACAATTTTTTAAAAACATAAAAACCTTCCTATTAATGCATGGACTACGATTTCAAAAATATGAAACACCATGAGTTCCCAAACATATTCCCATTTTCTTCTGTGTCAGAAGTGGAACTATGAGAATTTCAAACAAGATCGAGGTCTATCTCAGAATAGATTCCATTTTTCAGGACAAAATACATTTTCTTTTAGAAGATGATATTAACCACGCACCAAAAGGGTGCCACCTGTATCCAAAAGCACTTGGATGTCATCAGAAGTCAAAATATCCATGAGGTCTCCCTATGTACTCTCCATGAGTAGGTAACCTTTCAACAAGACATCCAAGGTTTGAAAATGGAGATCTTGAATTATGGTGAAAGGAGGTAAGTAGCCACGACGTAGCCACAACAAGCTCCCTCCAAACCTCACCTCCCTCCTTTGCAGTAGCTTGTCAGTGACCCAAATCCTCAGAGTAGCAAGAGCTCAGGGGAACAAAACATTTTCAAACAAATTCACCAGCATGCAAAGATACAAGCCAGCTGAGTATTCTCCTTAATGCTGTATGCACCTCTAGGCGTCATATAGACAACTAGAGGATATCCTTAGGGTCTGAAGACACAGAAGCGTTTAGCTAGTTGCATGTCATGCATGAGACCATGCAAATAAAAAATGGTTTATCTATTTTTTTATCCAAAAAAAAATAGAAAATGGTTACATTTAGGGTTTGAATCTAATTTGCTACATTTAGGAACCACTGGTTTGAGACCTTAAGTAGTTTGTTAAGTGGCACCCCCTTGGTGCTTTTATTAAATAACAAATTCACCTCTTCTCCTCAAAATAATTACTTGTAAACCATAAGAAAGGTTGATACGTTGAAGTAATCGCATTCCCCTAAGCATGATGAAGGGATTATAGGCTTGAGCAATCACACATTAAGCATGATGAGTTGGTGCGCTAGAGTTATCACCCTTCACTAATTTAAAGAACAATGGCCCATCACCCTTCTCTAGCATTATGAAACATTAATTAGCTTGAGCTATCGCCCTCCCTTTATAGTGATGAAAGGTTCATGTCAACTTTGAATTATGACCCTTCCCTAGCATTATGAAACAGTAATTAGATTGAGCTATCGCCCTCCCTTTATAGTGATGAAAGGTTCATGTCAGCTTTGAATATGACCCTTCCCTAAGCATATGAGAGTTGACAAAATTTTTTGAAATAAATGAGAGTCAACAAAATTAAATTAACCTAGTAGTAGAGAGGATTGATGAGACTGATTAACCAAGAAATAGCTTTCACTAGAACATAGTGAAGAATCAAAAGAGAGCAGAGTTATCAATAGACAACAAATAGGTGACCACTTTCTTGGATCCCTCATCCCTTTACTTCTAAAGCCGTGTTACTATGAGACCTAGCTGACCTGGATGTCATTAGCATCTTACTGATAGCCCTAAGAATAGATGAATAAGAAGCAATTGGATCACCTAGCTTAAGGCCTCAAGGGGATTTTAAAGAATTCATAAGGATTAAAATTGATCAAAACCACAAAGGAGCAAATAGAGATACATCTATTGATCACTTTACACCACCTTTTCTCAAACCATTTCTTTAAAAAAGGTGCAAAAGGAAAAGCAGAACACATGGTCATAAGCTTTCTCCACATTCAATTTACACAGAAACCTTTTTCCCTAATTTATGGACGTAATCAACCACCTCATTAGCCATCAACACAGCAACAAGAATACGCCTTCCATCCACAAAGGCATGTTGAGCCTCACTAACCACCCTATTAATCAAATGCCTCAACTTCAGAGGCAATAAGTCTAACAATAAGCTAGGAAACACTAATCACCATTTACCAAGCTAATCACTGAAGTCCAATCAACAACATCCTCCAACTTAAGAATGAAAAACAAGAAAGTTGCATTAAGAAACAACACAAACTGTACCAAATCATAAAACCCCTGAAATAACAGCCAAACTATAACAAAAAAATGTTATTGAGAAGCCTCCTGAAATACAGACTCGTTCTTGTATCAACTAATCAACACAAAAAAAATCTCAAGAAAAAGGACCTCCCTAACCACTTGGCCTTCTGGGCATCCAATGACTCAGATGTCATACCATCCAAATTTGATCCTCACTCCACTTCACTGCTTAAGAGACAGTTCAAACAAACTACACAACTCCTCTATCAACCTAAAGCAACAATTCACTACTTTTACCACGATTACACGATAATAATAAAAAAAATGGTACCAACACTACTGCAAACAATTATGGAAAAGAACAAAGTGTTTAGGTGCTCCAGTTCTTGCATTGACTTCTATATAATGTATTCTTCATTTCTTCAATAAGTTAAGAACTTCTCTGTTCTGTTTTTGGAGAAAGGCTTGAGGGAGGAGAAGGGATGGCAGCGAGTGGTAGGCAATTAAGAATGACAAGGTACTTTAACTCTACTCTTATCAGAAAAGCTAAAGCTTTTCAAAGGATAGCATCCATAATAAGCTATTTTCTATTTTTCTCTCTCTCAAAAAAAACAATGAACAAAACACCACCTTGAATCACCACAGAGTATAAGCTTACAAACCTGAGATGTAAACATGACATAAACAAAATTAAAAACCTTATAAATTTTATGACTTGCCTACAAAGCAAGCTGATTTGGTGTAAACTAAAAATTTAGGCTAATGAGAATTTAGTAGCTGGCTTCATTCCTTTATGATCCAGTTCCGTTGTAAAATGCAATGTGCGGAAATTCACTGAGTAGGTATCTAACATTATAACAAGCAATATATGTAATATTACTAGAAGTCTCTGTAACAAAAAATTAAGAGGCAAGGATTATAATCAATGGCATCATAAATACAACATAACACGAGCACGAACCCATTCCCAAGGTTGAAGTTGCCTCAAAAACACATTCGTAAAATATGATGCTGTAGATATAAACAAGTCAACCTAAATCACATGTCTAGTTAAGGCCAAACAAAACCACAGGTCACGTTTTTGGTAACACTAAAATTACAGAATTGAACAGGACAAAGTTGTTCATTCCTATGTTCATCAACCAAAAAGAAAAGATAGAACTGCAGATAAAACACACAAAACCCATTAAATCCCAGTTCCAGACCGATGAACACCCCCAGGTGTTGATAACATGTCCATGTACAGACCCTTGGAAGAGGTTACTGATTGTTGTTATTGCAAGTGATACACATAAAAATGGATAATTGAGTCATCTATCCCTTTTTTCAACTGTCACATAGGATTTTTTTCTTAATCAATTTTAGGTTTTATATATACACACAAATATATACATATTACTCAGAGGATTGAAAGATTTGCTAAATGAGAAAAATCTTTTTCTCTTTTGTTCTCATTCAAACGTTACTTAAACTTTGAAATTTAGTCTAGTAACCTAATATATTTATAGTTTAAAAAGCACAATTTTGACTTAAAACTCTTAAATGTAAAGAATAAACATTAAACATTAAACATTAAAGGGATATTTAAGTAATAGTAAACAATATATGTTCTGTTCAAAAACCGAACAAACATAAACTGACATATTTGATCTGTCCATTCTCATTCAAACACATTCTGTTTAGTCATGTACAGCCCTGAACTGTGTTGTTCTATTCTGTTCTAAATGTTTATTCTAAATGTATAACAAATGCTGCCCATATCTGTGCTAGAAGATCAATTAACAAATTAGAAGACATGCATCGAGTTATTCAAGGGAGCATATTTGTAACAAGAAAATTGATAAATGTACCAAAAAAAACTACAACCAAATAGGACAAAGAAAAAAGAAAGAAACTATTTTCACTTAGGGCAGTAATCTATTTTAGGCGAGAGGTAATCTATTGGGGCTTAGCTCAACCATAAAAAAAGGCCTAAGCCAGTTTCCGTAAAACCAAAACATCACCCAAAAATACAAAATAGAAAAGGACATTATCTTGCAATAATTAAAGGGAGAAAAGTCCCATGACAAATACATCCAATATAAGACATCTAACAGAATTGACCACTCACTTTTATGAACCCCAGAGGGAAAGAAATGTCCACAACTAAAGCATGACAATAGGCCTAATACACACACCAGTATGCCACTTACTACCATATGAACCCAATCAAAGGAGAGAATCTCTCCTGCACAATGCCTATCGTGGAAAATCCTTTAATTTTTACTTCAAAAGATTCTTGTTGCATTTCCAACATATGTGGAAATATGTACATGTATTTCTAAACAAGCAGGTGCCTATGTGCATGAATGCCGAGTAGATATTATGACTGAAAGCACATTTATGTGCATAATGCATGCATCTTC